GTTTTCTGTCCTTCCATACCTGGACCAGGAGCTATGTGAAACCAGCTTCCAGGAGAACACAGCTTGGCAGCAAGTGTCTTTTCCCAAASCTGACCCCAGGCCTCTGCATGGCCCATCCCTGGAGATCTCTTAAAGCTTCAGGAAAATCCAAAGCAGTTCTAAAGTGTGGTCAATGGTGTTGCCCTCTGACCTCCCTACATTCTTTAGTCAACTATTTATTTAGACTCTTATGAACTTTAAGGATGCACAACCAAATAGTAGGCACACACTGGGATTAAAAATTTAAAGATAAACGAACAAACCCTCATTGACCCTGAGCAATGCTGCTTTAGGGTTGCATTCTTCCTAAATTTAAAGCCATTTCTCTGAAGCCTTCCATTTCCCTGCCTGTTCTCTCTCCACCATAAGAAGTTTGGCTGACTCATCAAGGCATCCCATAATGGTTTTCACTGGTGGTGCCAGGGTTGTGTTCACCATCTGAGTACAGTAAGAGAGGCACAATGGTTGCATTTCATTAGCTGAACTGCCTATTGTGTGAGCGTCTACTCCCCCTTTCACTGGGCCATGTCCACAAATAGTGTGGCTGGGACGTGGGGCAGGGTCGGCGCCAGCAGGAAGCTGATCTTGCTTTTCATTTTTGACCCATTCCTGTAGAACAATAAAAGGCTTGCTCTGCAGGATCATAGTTTTTATCTTTTCTGTAGGGCCTTTTCAAAGCTCATCTTTTCCACCATCCCACATGGTAGGTGTCCCCTGCAGCCACCGAGAGGGGCAGGCTCAGGACAGGATGGTCCTTTAAAATCCCAGAGTTCACATGAGGTTGAGTTGACATTTGGAAGCAAACCTTACCAGGCTCCCTGGCTGATCTGGGCATTCTTATATTGTTATGAGGCTCTGACACCCCRAAGTCATACTTGCTGACAGATTTGTTTTATGAGAGTCAGGGAGGGAGTAGCCATGGGGCAGCAAGACAAATCACTCATCCCTTTTCACAGTTCACTTGAATGGCTTAATAACCACAGCTGAGATGGCAGCCACCTCTTAGGATCCATCCAAGGGCTGAAACACTTTCCTTTTCTTTTCTAAAAGAAATTTAGCTAGGAATTTTGACTTGAGGCACTCAATTGTTTTTTTCTACCCTGAAACAAGATTTCAGGTGCTGGATGGATATTTTCTCCTGCGAAAACCTCCTCTGCCACCTCAAATCCCACTTCTGTGTCAGCCTCATTAATAATGTAGCAGTTGTCAAGGTCAGTGAATTTTATTTCAAAAAAGAAAGAAAGAAGAAAGAAAAGACTGCCTGTGGAGTTTACGTTCTAGATGGCTGGCTTTACAGTTTAGCTAATTACCTCTGGTGTAAATTTCATTATTTTGTGAGTTTTGGTCCTAACCTGGGATTTTAAATCACCCATGCTTATGAGGGTAATGTGTTCATCCCTCCCCTCCTGGGCCCCACTCCCCAGAGGTGACTGTGATTAGCCACATTTAAAACACAATGAAGCGGGCATGAATAACTGTCACAGAAGGGTCCTTGTTAGTCCCAGGCTTCCTTGGTCTATGACAAAGAGTCCGCCAGGGACATGTGTTACAGGCTCCCTGAGGTTCCCAGTACTTGARGGGGATGTGGCCACATTGGCTTTCAGTTCTAGTGCTTATGAGGGCCTGATCTGTCCCATCTGGCTATTTGGGGATCCCCTTCCTTCCTCATCATTCTCAATTTGGCCCCGAAATTGTCAGGTTGGCTGCCTACAGTTTGAACTCCCACAAGGGCCATCTGGTCTTTTTGATTCAATGTGCAACATTTTTGTCAATCCTTGTTGAGCCTTTGCAGTTCTGTGCCTCAGTGTTGTCAGAGTGGCTGCTCTCAGCTGCACGGTGGGGACCTCCCTGGACCATGAATACACCACAGACATCCCATTTCTGCCCTTTCTTAGGCTCTTTGCTCTCTCCAGAATATATCTTTTTTTTTTTTTTGTATCAGGGATTGAACCCAGGATGTTTTACCACTGAGCCACATCCCCAGGCCTTTTTAATTTTTGTTTTTAAGAACAAGATCTTGCTAAGTTGTTTAGGGCCTTGCTAAGTTGCTTTAGGGCCTTGCTAAGTTGTTGAGACTCATTTGGAACTTGTGATCCTCCTGCCTCGGCCTCCAGAGTTGCTGGAATTATGGGCATGTGCCACCACGCCCAGCCATCTGGAATATCTTGATGTCTGACATGTTTTTTTCCAAATCAACTCAAATGTCACCACTTGATAAAAACCTCTGGCCACTTACCTGTGTTCCCTCTTTCCTTTGGACCTTTGTTATGCTTCCTTAGATCTTTACCATCCATCTATCCATTCATTAAAAATAAAGCTTATTGGTGTCCACTGTGGACCAGCCTTGATATGTAAATGGACTAAACAACAAAGACTTCCTCCTTCTTTCCTGCCATTTACCTTCTAGCTTTTGGGGAGATAGCATGGATCAGCTGTGTGATATTTTATCAGGTGGTAAGTGGAATGAATGGAATGGGAAATATAAAAAACAAAGCAGGGCTGATAAGAAGGAAGGGGCAGGATGCCATGAGTATGACATGGACAGGCCTCAGTGACACTCGAGTCATGTGGCAATTACACAATTTATGTGGATAGACCTTCTTCTTTCCCAACCAAGGGACAGAAAACAGCCATCCTCATTGATTTTCTGCCAGCAACACTTGGCACAAAATACTTTGAATGTAGTGGGTGCTCTATAAATAATTGGTAAATGGGTATAAATGTGTAAAAATGTATTTGAGGACAAATCAATAAAACCATTTCCTATTTCTACTTTTTTCCTGCCTTTAAAAAAAATCATGATAAATCTCTTTTAAGAAGCTGAGATTCCTTCCTCATTCTTTCTTTTCAAGACAAAATTTGTCACTTGTGTTCAGTGGGGACTGGGCTTTTGGAAAATCTTGGCCAATGCCTGTCTTTGTCAGCTTTTCATTTCAGTAACAGATACTTGAAACACTTAACCTGTACAGAGAAAAGGGTTATTTGAGCTCACGGTTTTGGAGGCTCCAGCCCAGAATTGGTTTGCCCTGTTGCTTTGGGCCTGGGATGAGGCAGCTCGTCATGGCAGAGGAAAATGGCTTAACTTCAAGACCAAGGGAGCAGAGGAGAAAGAGTAAGAAGCTGGGGTCCCACAGTCCTCTTCAAGGACCAGTGACCTAAAGACCACCCATTAGCCCCACCTCTTAAAGGTCCYGTCACCTCCCAGTAGCACCACCCTGAGGATCAAGCCTTGAACACCTGGGTCTTTGGGGGTCCCTCAACAACAAAACCATYGCAATGCCTGAAAGGCTTCTTGTTTTTTAACATGGAGGAATGCAATTTTAAGGTAGAACCTTCAGTTCAACTTAGAAAAGCACAGGGAACATAGTTGCGATTCCTATTTTGGCTGGCCCTTTGCTCTAGATGAATCATTTATTAAAATGAATAAATTTTGGGAATGGAATAGAGAAAAACATTTCAAGAGTATGTTTTATTGTTCATTTGCCACCAAAATCTCAAGGGTTTCTTGGCAACCCCTGGACTTAATTAGCTTGCAGTTTACAAATATGTATCAAGTGAAATAATATCCCCCCACTGCAGTGAAACCCATGACGTGGATTGTGCAGACACAGATATCATCCGACCAAACCACTGTGTTTGCTACGTGCATTTCAGCTTTTAGTTGAGGAGCAGAGATTACAGAAAATCAATGCAGAATAGATTTCTGGGTTGTACTCAGTCCATAGAACTGTCTTGAAAAAAAAAAAAAAAAAGCCTAGGCTTCAGTCATCCAGGGCTTTCAGCTGGCGGATTTAAAATGTAAATGACACTGTGGCTCATAAAATGATTCTCTGGGAGCTCAAGAGCTCTTTGCAATTTAGTGGCCCACACTGCATCCACCACACAGAGAGTGTGTCATAGGGGCCTTGGAGAGCTTTGTGCCCAGCCCAGTCCCCTCGTGGGCCACACAGGGTAGGGAGCTTAAGGGGAAAAAGCAAGCAAGGATGTGAGTATGTCCCCAACTGTCCTGGTCCCACACTTCTCATCTTTTTGCCCCAGCTCMCTTSGACCGGTTTTATTGTGTTTCCGCTTCTGTGTAAGAGTTTTTATGAAGGAAATGTTTTACAGTTAAAAATACTTTTGGAAGAAATAGTGTGATCTAAGTTAGCTCCCTCAGGTAAAGACCGGRCAGCCCAGAGAAGGTTAAGACATGCAAGTCTAAGTGGCTTGTACTGTGTTGCTGACAGCAGCTAGAAACACACCTCCATGGATCTGTTTCCTCCTGTGCCTRCCTCACTGCCTTAGAGAATTCTCACTGCCTTAGTGTGAGAATCCAGTGGCCCAGACTGGAAAGCAATGTGTAAGGAGGTGCATGTTGGAATGCTATGGTTCCATGCCAATATCAGAACCATTTCTTCCTTTTCTGCCATTACTGAAATCATGTAGGTTGTCAAACTGAGTTCTGGGAAACTCTAGGAATTATTGTTGGGGTCTCAGGGAACATTTTTTCTTCAGACAAAGCATCTTCCCTTTTAGCCGTGTTCTGTGTCGGGCTTCTGGGTGAGGTTTCTTCTGAAGAAAGAGCTCTATACCTTCAGAAAAGTTCAGAAACCCCGATCCATCAGGATTTTTGAAAATGGAAATTAATAGCTATTTTCATTTGAAATGACAGTGGTCATCTGTGGCTCTGGARATGGCCAGATACAGAGTGTTCAGGGCAGAGGTTGGCTGAATACCTAATGCAAGATGATCACAGATGTGGAAGCACTATGAACAGATTGGCTTGAACGAAACAGACTGAACTCACCATGGAAACCTTTGAGCTGCATTGCGACTCCAGGTGTCTTTCAAAGCTGGACKTTCACATGGCCTTTTGTTTTTTGGCTCTGTGACTGATGTGATGGTCCATTGTGAGAGCCTGGGTGGAAACCAAGAGGTACCTGACAGGTAACTGTGCTTTCTTTCTTGTCTTCATTTTTTAGTGCACTTACATTTCAATTGACCAAGTTCCGAGGACACATGCCATAGTGATAAGCAGACCCGCCTGGCTTTGGGGGGCAGAAATGGGAGCCAATGAGCATGGCGTGTGCATAGCCAATGAAGCCGTCAACGCCAGAGAACCGGCTGCTGAGACGGAAGCCTTACTRGGGATGGATCTGGTCAGGTACTGCATGGTGATTCTTTGAAACAACTGCCCAGACAGAACAGTCTGGAATGGGGATGAGATTTATTTCCTCCTGAACCTCATATTTGGTAACACAATCCCTCCCAGAGCTGATGTGTGCCTTTTGATAGAAACTTTCAGATGATGGGGAAAAAAAAAGAGAATAGGCTAACATGGAATATTTTTCAGTAATAAAAAAGAATCAAGTACCATCATATGCTACACGATGATGTTGAAAACATTATACCGAGTGAAAGAAGGCAGGCACAAAGTCATATACTGTAAAATTCCATTTGTGTGAAATAATACAGAAGAGGCAAATCCAGAGAGCAGAAGGTGGATTAGTGGTGGCCTAGGTTTGGGTCAGGGTGAGGAATGGTGAGTGAGTCCTAATGGGTGTGAGGTTTCTATTGGGGACATTTGAAAATGTTCTAAACTTGAATCATGATGCTAGTTGTACAAATTTATGAATAGACTAAAACCACCGAGTCTCATAGTTTAAAATGGGTAAATTTTATTGTATTTGAAATATATAACTATATGTCAAAGAAAAGATACATAAAACACATAAAATTAAAAAAAAACCCACCAGAGCGATGACCATCCTCCTTCACCTTCTATCTCTCAGTTGTTTCTTCTTTCTTTCCCTCCTCTCCTAGCCAGCATGTACCAGAAGGAACTGGATGTGGAAGCTGGATGGGACAGGGATCTTTGTCTATTTGGCCCTCTACCCCATTTATAACCCCTAGGAACTGTGGGCCTGGCAACTAATGGGTGATCACCAACAGAATTTTGAATGAGTGACTAAACTGCCTTCTTTCCTTTGTTTTGCTCTGTCTTCCACAGAKGAGAGAAAACATTCAACCTTTGATTTTCTGAGTCTGGCTTATTTCACTTAGCATGGTTTTCTCCATTTCCATCCATTCACCAACAAATGCCATTATTATGATTTTTTTTTTTGAGAGAGAGAGAGAGAGAGAGAGAATTTTTTTTAAAGAGAGAGTGAGAGAGAAAGAGAGAGAGAGAGAGAGAGAGAGAGAGAATTTTAATATTTTATTTTTTAGTTCTCGGCGGACACAACATCTTTGTTTGTTTGTGGTGCTGAGGATCGAACCTGGGCCACACGAATGCCAGGCGAGCGCGCTACCGCTTGAGCCACATCCCCAGCCTGAGAATTTTTTAATATTTATTTTTTTTTTAGTTTTTTTCGGCGGACACAACATCTTTGTATGTGGTGCTGAGGATCGAACCTGGGCCGCACACATGTCAGGCGAGTGCGCTACTGCTTGAGCCACATCCCCAGCCCAAATGCCATTATTTTGAGAATTTTTTTTCCTTGTATGCTTCAGATTGATCTTTTCAAGATTATCAACCCATAAGGCAACAGGAGTTTACTGAATATCTACTTTGTGCTTGACCCTGCGTGCATAAAGAAGCTCAAAGCTTCAACAAGATTTTAATGTGGTTGCAGGGAGGAGACAGAAAGTTGAGCAATGCAAATTGTATGAACAATATAAGAGATGACAGTAGGGGAGAGGTGACTCAAGGAAATTGGACATCATATGTGTGGCACAGAGTTCCAGGATATAAGCACTGAAACAATTTCTAGAGCACTGGTTCACAAAGTGAGGATGGTCAGCAAGCTCTGCTCTATGTTCAGATATTGTCACAGACTGAACACATTTGGGATGCTTTGAGGAGGAGTTTTTGACTTGGATCTATCTGCAAGACTCAGGAATATAGACAGCAAAGATAAATTTGGCACATAATTGGTGTTGTGATAGCTAGCAAGGTCTGGAATAATAACATATGTCAGGAATAGATGACAGGGTAAGGGCTGAACTTTAGCTATTTAGTTTTAACTCTTGCCCTGGCTATCCCTGTGTAGCTTCTGCAGTAAAAAAGGAGTGAGGAGGACCCTGTGACAGGCAGGCTCTTCAGAGTGGGGCCTCTGTTATCTGCACCTTGCATGGATCTTTGAGTTCAGGGTTTGGTCTCAGCTTTAAACTGGCTAGGATCAGTGAAATTCTAAGGGACCATTTCAGAGCAACCAAACTCCCTCTTATGTGCATTTKTAGGAAGCTCCAGGAGATATTAATGTTGAGGATTCACCAACCACAGTTTGAGTGATCAGATTCTAGAACACTGTTTCTCAAAGTGTGAACGGTGAGCAAACATGGTCTGGGAACCTGTTAGATATTATCAGTCCCCACCAGACCTCTGCTGAATCTGGGGGTGGGGCCAGCAATCTGTTTGAACAATCCCTCCAGAAGGTTCTGARGGGTGACAAAGACAGAATAGCCCTGCTGCAGGGGGAACTTGCCGTGGGTTGGTTCCATCCTTTCGATGTCAAACTCAGTATCACTCTAGGTATTGCTGTGTGAGGTGCCCCTACTTTCTCTGACCTTGCTTGTCCTCTGTRCTTGGATGACAGTTCTTTCCTGGTCAGCTCCTGTGAGAGGAGGCTGTTTATATTTTACACTCCAAGTATCTGCTAGACTTTAATGGAATATTTAAAAAAGTACAGCAGTTTTCGTAAGTATCCTGGTCCTTTGTGTTTTCCATCCATATGTCAAATCCAATCTCAGTTCAAAGAGACATAAATCAATGACAGTAGCATTCTAACAGGCACTGGATTTAAAATAAAGGTACAATTCATACGTATTTCTTAAAGGCTTGTGTGAATGCAAGCATTAGGGCAAGAGCATCAATACTTCCACTGATGCTGATGCTAAAAACCAAGCTTTGTTTTTTATGTATTTGTTTAGTTTTTTTATTTTTACTATCCACAGATCTCTGTGGGACTCTGTCAACCAATTCCCCCCATTCCTATCCTCAACCCCCAGAAAAGGCACATAGACACAGACATTTCTGCATTTCATGAGGCTGGTTCTAAGTGTCAAGTAGCTGACAGGAGCTAACATAAAGGGGGGAATTTATTAACTGAATGTCAAGGTGTCTCTTACAATCCAGGGTCTGGCTGTCATGATAATGCATGTAGGCTTCAGCACCTAGGAGGACTAGAAAGCTTTTAGGATCCATTAGTCTGTTGTAATGTTTAATAATCAACTGGGGGAGGGGCAGCCCCGATTTGTGGACTTTTCTACTCTCACCAGGAAAGATTTCATGGCTACCAGTTGCTTAACAATTGGTCCAAAATCCCTGAAATTTAACCCTCTGCTCTCTGAGCTGATGTTGCTAGGCTCAGCTTTGGAGGCTGGACCCATGGAAGAGTCATGTCTTCGAGTTGAGTACTGGGGAGAAAGAAAGGCTTTATTCATTGACCAAAGAATGGAAGAGAAAGGGTTTTGCTCACAAAGCAGCTTCTCAACTCCAGAGTCAAGGGGTTACAGACACAGGAGAGGAATCATGAGGAGAGAGAGAGGCTAAGGAAGGGGAGGAATAGTCCTGTGTTTTCTGGGAATAGACAGAGATCTACCAGGAACTCTGTGTCACCTCTTTTCATTCCTTTCATGATCTGGAACTTCTGGTCATGGAAGCTGGTAGGTGCCTTTAGCCTTGAAGTGGGGAGACTGAGAGCCACAAGGCAAGTCTGGTAAAGTCAACCCTATATTATACTTTGCAGAAAACATTTCTCCAATGTTCTCAGCAGGGCTGAGTAGAATCAGGCTCAGATGTTGAGGCAACAAAGGAGAGAGACACAGTATGAAGATAGAGATGCCAGCCTTTTTATCCCATCCCAGTTGCCCATCCGACATGTGTAGGCCCAAGTGAAGAGTCACTTTCAGCAACAGTAGGCCTCAGGTCCCTGAAGGACCCTAGAGAGCTATTGTCATAACCCACAGGTATCATCTACAGCAAAGCCAGTGGGGGACTAATAATGTTATTGCCTAGCTGTGTGTCCTCCAAAATTACTGTTGTTTTTTTTATAAGTCAATTAAGAGCAAGTGAAAAAAGAAGGTTTATTTAGCATTTTCCTTGATAACACTTACGGCTGRCTAGGACAGGTCACCCCATTCCTTCAGTGTTCCAAGTCTCTTCTTTGCATAACTGCCTTATTCTTTTCTTTATATTTAGATTAACTTTTGCTCATCCTATCTGTGTTTAATGTTSGCACAAAAACCCAGTCAATCTCAGTATTTCAGAATATTTTATAATTCTGGACACATCTCGTCAGCCCCTCAGCATGGCAAGAGCATCAATACAAAAGTCACTGGAAAGAAGCCAGTGTGAAAATTTGGAAAGCCCTGTAGYTTATCTTTAGGTGGTTCACGCATGTGGAAACTCACAGGTGATTTGAAGGGAGGCTGATCACTGTAGGAGGAACGAACTGCCTTTAGTTCTAGCTCACTGATCACTCTAGGAAGACATATGTGCATGTATTTCATTCAGTTMTCACAACCAGCCATGACATTGGTCTGTTTGTTTACTTAAATTTAGTAGATGAGGAAGCTGGAGTTTAAGGACTTGCCCGCAGCACCAAGGCTAGATGGTGGCTGGGCCAGAAATACCAGGACCTGCTAACCTCAGGTGAACCACTCCTCTCTGCATTAGATCGCAGTCCTACTCTAATGAGACAGGAAGCTCCGGACACTGAGAGGTGGAACGGAGCCCCCAAATCACACACCCTGCCTTCTGTCAAAAGTCAAAATGATGGCAAATTTAGTTTGAGGTCAAGTTGGCATTTATTTGTGACGCATGAATCAGGGTAGCCTTCATTATGCAAAATAATATTCCCATGAGGCAATAGCAGAACAGTGGTTTTATAAAATGGAAACAAGGAGACAGAAGAGCAGGGGAAAAATGGATTGGTTAACATTAGGTTATTTTAGGTTACGTTTTTGGAAGTGTGAAAGCAGAAGGGACTTCCTTGTTATGCTGACTCAGGCAGACTGGAATCTATTGTTTTAATAAAAAATTGGAGTATTTCGTGCTCCCTTAAAGCTTCAGTCCCTCCTACCCACTTGGTACCAGGAATTGAACTCAGGGGCGCTTAACCACTGAGCCATATCCCCAGCCCTTTTTTTAAAAATTTATTTTTTAAAACTCTTTTTTTTAAAGTATTTTAGTTGTAAATGGACACAATACCTTTATTTTATTTATTTATGTTTATGTGGTGCTGAGAATTGAACCCAGTGCCGCACACATGGGAGTCAAGCGCTCTACCACTGAGCCACAACCCCAGCCCCTCCACAGCCCTTTTTCTTTTTTTTTTTAATTTTTTTTTTTTAGTTGTACACAATACCTTTATTTTGTTTATTTGTTTTTACGTGGTGCTGAGGATCGAACCCAGGGCCTCGCACATGCTAGGTGAGCGCTCTACTGCTGAGCCACAACCCCAGCCCCTCCCCAGCCCTTTTTGAATTTTATTTAGAGACAGGTTCGTGCTAAGTTGTTTAGGGCCTTGCTAAATTACCGAGGCTGGCTTTGAATTTGTGATTCTCTTGCCTCAGCCTCTGGAGCTGCTGGGATTATAGAAGTGTGCCACTGCACCTAGCAAAGCTTTTAGTTTGATTGTGGGGCATTTGGCCTGCGCGATTCCCTTTTGGTCTGGTCTGGTCTGGTCTGGTATGTTGGAGCCTAGTGTAGAAGTGCAGTCCAAAACCATGTGTTTCCATCAATTTTAAATTCCCAAATCAATGCAGCACTTAACATCCACTTGTGACCTTTCTTAGTTGATTTGGGCTGCTATGATAAAGGTGCCATAGACTGGAGAGTTTAAACAACAGATGTTTATTTCTCTTCTGGAGGTTGGGAAGTTAAAGATCGGGGTGCCAGCAGATCCAGTGTCTGGTGAGCACTCACTTTCTGGTTTGCAGACCCTGCCTGTTCTTTGTGCCCTTACGTGACAGCAGAAAGAGGACAAGATCTGGTGTCTCTTTCATAAAGACCCTAATCTCATCACAARGGCTCCATCCTCATGACCTAATCACCTTCCAAAGGCACCTCTAAGTACCATCACATTGGGGATTGTGCTTCAGCATACAAATTTTGGGGGCGGGGGGACATGTACGATCAGTTCACAGCCTTACCTTCCTACGACCAGCCCTCTGGTTGAAGGCTGGGAATTTTTTAATGTCCAGAAGGCCATTGTTTTAGTCAGATTTTTAGCTGCTGTCACCAAAAGATCKGACAAGAACAATTAGAGACATAAAAGTTTATTTGGCTCATGGTTTCAGAGGTCTTAGTCCATAAATGGCCAACTCCATTGTTCTGGGCCCAGGTGAAGCAGAGCATCATGGAGAAAGGTGTGATGGAGGAAGCAGCTCAGGACCTGGGYACCAGAAGCAGAGAAAAGCTCCATTTTCTAGGGACAGAATGTAAACCCCAAAGGCACACCCCTGGTGACCCACCTCCTCCAGCCACACCCTTTCAGCCTATCATTACCACCCAGTTAATCCCTATCAGAGCACTAATGCACTGAAGGCTCGCATAACCCAATCATTTCACCTSTAAACTTTCTTGCATTGTCTCACATGAGCTTTTGGGGGGACACCTCATATCTAAGTCATAACAGCTATTACCCCCCCGAGGGGACTTACAAACTTGTTGATTATGGGAAGAAGGAAGGTAATTGGCAGAGTCCTCTAAGAACCCCAGGCTAAGGGGAGGGGTGTCGACTGTTTTCATTTGTTTYCCAGGGGCAGCAATTACATATCCCACAGTAAATCTAGTTATAACTTAGTTTTACCTTATTTGGCATACAAAGGGACAGGGTCCCTCTTGTCTCTAGAGGCACAGATATTGAAAAGATATGCAGAGTTCTTAAAGGGGCTTTAAGTAAAGAATGTGCAGGTGTTTCTCTTCTTCCTTGTGAGATGTGTAAATCTTTCAGGATGGGGTGGGGCTAGCTTGACATACCTGTGACAAGGCTGTGAGCCCCAAATAAATATTTTCCCATAAAACTAGGAATTGCATTTAGGAGCARTTAACTCTCAGGCCCAGAACAACCTRGACAAAGCATACAGTTTGGAAGGATCTGAGTTACACTGAAAGTAGATCTCAGAATGAGACTATAACTTTGGCTCATTCAGTTTCATCCCTCTTCCTAACCTGATCTTACCCAGGCTAATGTGGGGTGGTGGAAGGGAAGTGAGGCACTGGGGCCAGAAAAAGTGCTGTTCTTATTTGGAACCACATGAATCTACTTCATCTAGGAGGCAAGGCAGTTGAAAACAGCATTAAAATAGGCCTCTGGATACTGGGCGTGTCCCAGGATTACCACAGGCCTGGTATCGGTGGCATTTCCTCCACACTCAGTGACATGGGATTCTCCTGCATCTCTCAGTCTCAGAGGAGAGTACAGAACCCTGATGTTCTTYGTGGCCTTRCACTRAGGAGCTGGTGGTCCTGTCTTCATTCTMTGGTTGGGAGACYAGCTGGAGRTKGTCATGTGGGTTCACGGAGCCACCCATGGTCCTGGTCTGAGGAGGAGGAGAGTGAAACCACAATTATGTCTGTAGCAGGGTGCTGAGGTCCTGCTTTGCATGTAGGGCATCCAAGTTAGAGCGGACGCAAGTGCACACATTGTGGGGTTCAGTGGAAGGTAAACAGGCTGAATATCCAGAAAACATTAGAGAGATCCCAGCCTCCAAAGATGGGGCTACTGAGCATGGCTACGTGTTCACCTGTCCCTACATAGACTTGCATGGGTCAGTTGGGGCCCTGCAAAGGCCCTGGGAGCAGAATCTGCTGGAGCGGGTGTAGGAGGCATTGTGACCAGGGCCCACCAGGGACCCTGGGAAGGAGAAAGGAGGCCTTCCAGGTGCAGTTCTGGTGATGCAGGTCTCACAGCACACTGGTTTGCTCAGATCCTCAAGATAAGATGAGCTCTCACTCTTGCTGCGTTTTGGAGAAGACAACCTTGAGCAGAAAAGTCTACTTAATTCTATCTTTCAGTGAGCTTGCTCTTTTTTTTTTTTTCTTTTCATGTCAGGTGGGTCATGTGCCAACGTGGTAGGTTTGAGGGCGGTGTCTCCCAGACAACTGTGGGCAAACCCAATCCCCATGCTTGTGAACCACAAAAGGATCAGGRTTATTTTTAAAATTTTGTATCACTCTCCTAAGGCATTAGGGTTCAGCTTTGTAGATCAGAGCTTTGTAACCAAGCCTTCTTAAATGAGCTTAGAATGWGAAATTTCAAATGAATCGGTACGTAATAAATCGACTATGAAAATAAGCCTGTTATAGAATAAGTCCATAGCTTGTGGCTACATTATCTTTTCTTCTCCATGACAGCACAGTGGAATGCTCCTTCAGAAAGCACTGAATTGGGTGAATTTTAATAGCTACTGCTTCTTGTGTTGAAAATTCACCAAGAACAGGCTTGTACTACCATCTCAGTAGCTTTGCTCTAAGACTCTTGAATTTTTGCCAGCAGACTTACAATTTGAATGATCAGATGAATAAATGAACTGAATACGTATGATGTACCATCTTCTCTCATACCAGCCTGAGGAGGGAGGTAGAAATGTTTTTACTTTACCAMTAAGAAAATAGAGGTTTGAAAAGAAGACGTTACTTAAGATCATACTGCCTGTGAGTAGTTAAACCAGAGCGAGAAGTTAGTTCTTTATTTCTGAATTGCAGATTTCTCTGTGACAGTGTTCTGCCCCCTGAAATCTACTCATCATTTATTTGGTCCTAGGCACTATGCCATTCTTTTTTTTTTCTCTTCTTTTGCAGGGTTGGGGGTTGGACCCCAGGGCCTCATGCATGCCAGGAAAATGCTCTACCGCTGAGCCATATCCCCAGCCCCAGGCCATCTATTTTCATGTTCATTATCTCATGAAACTCATATCCATTGTAACCCAATGATAGAGGAACCAATTTCATGGATGTCATAAAACTGAAGTTCAAATGTATTATGTAAACTGCCTATGGTCACACAGAGGGCAGTATCTGTACTCTTTTTAAAGGATTTATTAATTGGAAGGGCCAGGATGGATGTCTCACTTCAGAAGGAAGGTGTGTTCTTTTGATAACTGAAGTTGTAAGCCACACCAATTGCTGTAGGCTGATAGGTAGGAGGGAAATACGTAGAAAAAGGATGGAGCATGGCCTTCTAGACAACCATTTCTAATGAGATCTCTGAGCAAATTATATACACAGAGGAGAATGGTAATCAAATACTTTTATTACTAATTGTCTTAGACCATCCAGACTGAGATAACTATAAATAGGATGCTGATAAACAACAGAAACTTATTGCTCATAGTTTGGGAGCTGGGAAGTCCAAGTTCAAGGTGCCAACGTTTGGTGTCTGGTGTGAACGCATATCCGACTCACAGGTGGTGCCTTCTTGCTGTGTTCTCACATGGTAGATGGGGCAAGGCCTCCTTCATACAAACACTAATCCCATCATAAGGTTCCTCCATGATTAGTCATTTCCCAAAAGCCCCCTTGCCTAGTATCATTATATTGGGTGATCAGGTTTCGTCATATGAATTTTGAAGGGACACAATATGTAGCAATAACCAAAACACCTGTATAGAATGATGGCGGGCAAAGCTGGGCTGGGCAGAGATTTCCTTTTGTCTAGGTAGGAGTCAGGAGGAAGCACAAGGCTTGCTGAGGGCTAGAGCTGAGCCAGACAGATTCATGGGAGAAGGAGTCAGCACAGAGAAAGAGGGGGCCGACCTTCCTTTCCAGGGGAAAAAGCTGCTGGTTCCTGATTCTGTCTGTGCAGAAGGGGGATGATTTTTGCATTTGTAACTGAATGTGTGATAGAGGTATTTTGAGTTGAAAGTATCGTTGATTGGTTTGCATGTTGGTCTGCAAATTGAACATCATACATGCATTGGTGTGCTTCAGGCCTGGGCCTTGTCTTGGTCTTTGGTTGCTATGACAATAATCATGTGGGTTGAAATGACTGAGGAACACTTCTCATTTCCTGACTTCAGGCTTGGTTTAGAAAGAGGGACAACAGCTAAAGAAGCCTTAGATGTCATCGTCTCCTTGTTGGAAGAACATGGACARGGTGGGAATTATTACGAAGATGCAAACTCCTGCCATAGCTTCCAAAGTGCGTATCTGCTTGTGGATCGAGACGAGGCCTGGGTGCTTGAGACCGTAGGGAAGTACTGGGCTGCTGAGAAAATCACAGGTGAGTGGTTTTGAGCATGTGAAAGACTGAGATGGATGTTGGCTGGACCCACAGCACCAGACCCAGAGAAATCATGCTACCGTGCAGCCCCTGACTGTGCTGGCTCTTCATGCCTAAGCACACCCGTTCACTCCTGGGCATCTGTTTCTGGAGATGCACCTGGGGTTTTCTGAATCTGGAGTGAAGGGATGCTGGCCCTTGGGAAGCATATTCCTAACATTTCCTATTTTCTGTTTGCTTTCCAGGCAGGACCCAATTCTGACTACAGGCTGCTGCATGACTCAATCCGTTGGTCATTGAGAATAGATCAACAAATCCCTTCAACGGGAAACTGACCTGAGTTCGAAGCAGCTACCGTGCCCTGTAGCTGTTTGTGGTTGGAATGGTCCTCTAAAAGAAGGAGTTTGGATCTGTGTGAGAACTATTCAGTACTACCCTAGACCAATCAGGCCATTTCTCTGTGAGGCAATGATCCTAGAAGGGCAGAGAACTTGATAATCCTCATGGAAGGATTTAGTGCTCATAAAATTGCTGCTCTGTGGCCCTGGCTCCTAAGACAGCACAGGGAAGGAAGCATTAGAGGTGGGAGTGGTGACCTTGAATCAGTACCTCAGCACTCTCCTATTCTAGATGGGATTGGATCCCAGAATGGGTTAAAAGGCTTCCAAGAGTTCTGAGGATTGGCCAGTGACATACTCTTACATTCTTTAGGACAGAATGATAAATGCATAGCACATGCACTGCCACTCTTCCCTCCTGTGTCCACAAAGACATGGCTAGTAGATTCCTGCATACTTCTTATTGAACCTATAGTTGGCCTCTGTATTTTTTTCAACTTAATTTACCAATGAATCAGAAAAGATGTTGGGACGAAACCTGTTTGCCACACTTGCCTTAGGGGTGACTGGCGCCAGATCTGACCTGAGTTAGAAGCAGATCTGGTTCAGTAACTGGAAGTCATACTTGTTTCCTGTKCACAAAGTCCAGTGATCAGGGCTTCTCTGGATGTTGGGCACATTGAACCCCATACAYAGTTCGTTGCCCCTGGAGGCAGAGAAATCTGGATAGTGGTTTCCTGGTCAAACTGTGTGAAGGYGGTGTCTGCCTGGATAAGGGAGTGGTGTTTTCTCATTCCATAAGACTATTGAATGGGCTAGGGGTCCCTCAGCAACCACAGGAATTTCTCCACCCCTCTCTACATAGCATGGAACCAGCAGGGCCTGTGCCCACTTTGCCCAACTCTTTCAGTATTTATAGGACAAGGGCAACCTGYGTGGCCCATCAGGTCTCCATCT